GCGCGCGGGCGGTGTAGATGCGGTGGGCTGTGTTTGGCCGGTTTCGAGGCCCGGGTCGTCGGCTGCGTCCACCCCCCTCCCCCTCAACGCCCCGTCCGAACCGGAGCGGCGCCGGGAGCCCAACGCGCGCCCCGGGGCGCTGTCTGCGAAGCCCCCGGGAAGGGGCGGGAACGGCCGCCGAGCCGCCTTCTAGCTGCATTTCTGTTCTCAAGTCCGGCTGCGCCCGGCCTGCGCAGGGCCGGCTCTCCGGGCTTTGTACCCGAGCGGGCGTCCTGGTGCCTGCCGAAGCCGGAGTCGGAAACTTAAAAAACTTTGCATCCATCCCAAGACTGTTGAGAAGGAGGCTAGGGTTTTGCCGTAATGGGAGAAAGTGGAGAAGGGAATTGTTTCTCAGCCATGCAGTCTGGACGTGAACCGGCCGTGCTGGCCGCAGTTCCTTAAATGTATATCCTGCCCCCAAATAAATAGTCTGTAAGCTCCAGGAATCTTAGGAAGGCTTGACTGGTAAAAATATTCGCGTCGCAAAATCCTCCGCGCGCCTTTCTCAGGGCTTGAAAGCGAAGCGCTTTGGCGGTGAGGATCCCGCTCCTCCCAAACGCAGTTAGCGTGCCTGCTGCTGGGCTCTGAATTATTTTTGAAAGGCAAGACTGATGCTGCATCTTTATGGATACCATTTTCTTTTCTCCCCTTTCCCCGAAACGCTACGTAATCTTTAATTTTATGTATATACACACACACACATATATGTGTATGTGTACATATATATAACGTTGGGATATAAATCACCCTTGGTGCAGGTACCTTTTAATGACGCGGTGCAGCGAAATGAGCGAGCATCGGAGCCTGGTTGTTAGCATGAGCGGAGGGGAGGTAGAATGATTTACAAACATCAAGGAGGGATTTGAGTGCTGAATTATGTTTGAGTTACGGAGCTCCCTTCCAAAGGAAATTATAACCAGCGGACAATTGCTGTATTTCAAACCAAATCTGTTCCTTTCATGAGCCCTTTCTTGCTCGACTGCAATTTTTCTATGACCAGCGTGTGAGTACTGAACTAGTAGCTGCATTTCCAGCCTGTGGGCCATTTAGGGAGGGGGGTGGCAGGGCGGGGAGACCCCCATGTAAAAATAATCTTCGTGAAAAATCTTTCGGGCAACTTTTCCCCAAGAAATGTTCGTGTTTTCCACTTTTCTCTCCACATCTTTAAACCCCTTAAACATGATACTTCCTTGCATTTAGACATCCTCAGACTAAGGAAAGTACTGAGAGATGCATGTCATAAATGACGGTGTTTTGAGTCTTGCTTTTGACTGAGCATAAAACCGTGTTTTGTATGAAAAATCTCCTTGCCTTTGGAGGAAACTCTACATTTGGCACTTTTGACCAATATGGCTAGATCCGAAAGGGCCTGAATTTTTGAAAGCCGTTCCTGTGTCCCACACGTCGTTGGTAGTTAGACCATTCTCCTGCTGTAACTCTAGCTTCGCCGTATTATTAACTATTTTATCTTAAAGGAGTTGGCGGTTTTCCTCTGCCCTGAACACAGCTCACCTCTGGGGTGGCTGTGTGAATGAGAATACTCTATGAACAGATCAGTCTCTTTGCTGACGTTAAATAGCTGAAGGAAAGAAAAGAAAAGAAAAAGATGTTACCCTGATTCTTTGGGATTTTTAAAAACCAGACGCTTTCACCGCTTAAGTTCTAAAGTCTTCTTTTCATGCCTTTTGTGTCGTATTAAACACATCATAAAGAGCTATGATTTGTTGACTTGTTATAGGATTACCATTTGGCAAAAACACTCAAGACATGCTGTTTCAAAAATGTGGTCTTACTTCTGCTTTAAATTGCAAGTACGAGATTGCAAAGCCTGTTCCAGGCGGATAAATTGATAAAACGCTAGCTGCTGTTGGAACAAGGAGAAAGTCCCCAGCAAAAGCACTCTGTGGGGCAGCGAAGTACATTTTGAATTGGGTGAAGCCAGATAGGGGGACCCTGGCAGTTTGTGAAAAGGTATACACGGTCCGAGCACGTCCACTTTAAGACGGTTTGGGTTCCCCCATGACAAGATGACTCCTTTCCCACAAAGAAAAACATTTCCTTATTTTTTCGGTTACTTTTCCAAAGATAACTTGTGTCTCGGGCGCGAGAGACCAGAGTTATGCAGAAATCCAACCGTAACCGGCTCAGAACGAGGTCTCACTCTTGCTCTCCTGCCACCAGATGTTTTTTAGGTGTCCTCAGCTGGAATGCCCAGTTTGAAACTAATTAGGCCAGCAATAAACTCCTTGTATAATAAAATCGCACGCTGTTATGGTGCCTAAGTGGGGTTCCCGGCAGCTCATGACAGATGCCTCTCTCCGCAGAGAGAGAGCCTGTGGCTGTCAGGAAAAATTTCTTGGGGGACAGGAACCTCCCCAAAGATGTTCTATAAAGGGGAGAGTCACCTAAAGATGTGTTCTCCTTATCTGTGGACGGGAAGCGGCTGGTTATTCAGTCACCTCCAAAGGCCGAACCTTCCAGCTCTTGCCAGGACTGGGTTTTGTTGGTGGAAGGAAACGTCTTCTTCTTCTTCTTCTTCTTTTTTTTTTTTTTTTTTTTTTTTTTTTTCTAGCTAGCTGCTCTCAGAAGCAGTTGGTGGAGTCTGCTGAAAAGGAATCTCTACAGAGAATTAACCCCAGAGTTGAGAAAACACAGCCTGTTGACAGAAGATACACACATACTCATGCACACTCCCCACAGCGCCCTTCTCACTCCCCACCCTCCTCTCCCCACCCCCCACCCAGATCACAACAGCTTCCTGAATGGCCCACTCCCCACACCCCTTACACACACAACGGAGAGAAGATTGTAGTAGGGGAAGCGATTAGCAGAGAATTGGCCGAAGACAGTGCTTCGTTTTCGCTACTTGAAGATCTTCACTGGCCTCATGGTGTTTGACTCACGGACACCTCTTCTAATCCGAGGATAAACCCCCTCAATCAGGTGGCAAACCCTTGCGAGTGACTGGTTCAGACCCACTTGTCCCTGTAAATGAATCGGAGGGGCAGGAACTCGTTCCTCATTGCATGTGACTGAAAATCAATTTCAAGGTAGGAAAGTATCTGCCAGGTGCATTTAGGGGAGAGAGAGGACGAAGGAAGCCACAGGCTTTTAAATTTATTTTTGCTGCTTTTTCTCCTTATTTTTGTTTTTTTTTTCTCACTCCCATCCTCCCGGCGTCTTTGCCATTTGTCTCCACTTGCAAATTATATCCTTGTGTTTAATAATAATGATGAAACAGCTCGTATGCCAGGCCTGAATTCAGCTCTTGACATGTATTTTTAGGATGGGTTCTCACAACAACTCTTCGGGTTAGGTGGTGGTATTATTATTATTATTATTATTATTATTTATTATCACATCCCAACTTTGTTAAGGCAAGAGTTGAGTTTCAAGTCACATGACTCACGAGAGCCTGCAGAGGGAATGAACCCGGAATGGAGGCCTTCAGACCTCTGCGGACTGTGCGTTTCCCACGTGCTGTAAAAACCTTGGCCGAGAGGCCATTTCTGCTTTCCTTTCCCTCGGACAGAGATGCGAAATTGGGATGATCTGAAACGCATCGAGCCCAGTTATTTTCTGACTCTGCCCTGATGTTTCGTTGTTGTTCTGAACGGAAGAAAAAATCATAGTAAGTAATTAGGAAACACCAATATGAGCCTTCCCGAGTCATGGTGTTTAGCAGGTTGTGTATGGGTCTATAAAGGATGTCTGTTTACAAGGGCTAATTTGATTCGTTCCTTCGATACTATAATGCGACGCATTTCAGTTCCTAAAAAGAGTCAATAAGTTTATAGGCAGTGGCAAAGCCCTAAAATGTTCCGGTAGGCGGTCCAAATGGAGCTTACCGGAAGGTGCTGGATCGCTATGGGTGGGTTCTTGTTTGGGGGGGTGAGATTATAAACATTTGGAGAGCGAAGAATAATTTGGAACAGGTGGTCCCAAGAGTCAGGTAACTGGAGCGATTTATCTTTGGCACTTTGAAGGTTGAGGGAGGCCGTCGGTTGCCTGAATCTGAAACAAGCAGGCAGAGGGTCAGGGGGGTCTAACAGGGCTCCCGCTTTGGGACAGAGCGTGGCAGGATGGATGCGAGGGTCTGTGCATGCAGTCTGGGGTCTCTAGAAAGCAGGGTCTCTTTGCTGTGGTCATCATCCTTTGGCGATCCTGGTTGAGGGCACCGATGTGCCTGTTGTTGCCTTTTTGCAGAATCTCCCTCTGTGTTCAGATATATGCAGAAATTGAAAACAGGAACTCAGATGAATAGATAGCCAGGGGAGACAGGTTTACATCTCACCAGTTTTGAGAACGTGCACACGGTCACC